ATATTTTCTCCCCAAAGACCACATATTATATGATCCCATTTATATGAAATGTCCAGAATAGGCAGATCTATAGCAACAGAAAATAGATTAGTGGTTTCCTAGGAGTGGGAGTGGGATGAATTGTTAATGACTGCTAATGTGCATGGGGTTTCTTTTTGGGGTAGTGAAAATGCCTTAAAATTGATTTTGGTGATGGTTGTACAACTTTGTGACTATACTAAAAACCACTGATTTGTACAGTTTAAGTGGTCAAATTATATGGTATGTAAATTGTATCTTAGTAAAACTGATTAAAAATGTACTTTTACATTTAAACTGCACTCATACAGCTTTTTCACATAACCCTATTAATTATTCTTGGACATTATTATTTTCAATGATTGCACAATATTTTATAATGCTGTATCAATTTATTTCACCATTTATTGCTAGATATTTAGTTTTGATTCAAATTTTATGCTATTATAATAAATTGATGACAAATAGTTGTACAGATCTCTATTTCATTAAAATTCATTCCTAAAATGGAGTCATTGCTAGATAAAATTATATGAATATTTTAAGGTTTTCATACATGTTGCCAAATTGCCTTTGAGAAATTATCTACAAATTTAAACTTACATCAGGAATGTATAAGAAAACCTGTTTCAACATGTCCTTGCCAACACTAGGTACTACAATTTGTAAAAATTGGCTGATTTAATAGACAAAATTGGAATTTTAGGTTATTTTAATTTGTATTTCTTTATAGTGAAGTTGAATAATTTTCATGTTTATTCTTCACTTTAATTTTTATTTTGCTGATTGATTGTTCACATCTTTTGCCCATTTTCTAACTGCTGTGTTTTTCCTTTGCTTACTGATTTTCGAGAGCTTTGTAAATCAAGGATGTTAAATTTTTTGTGTTGTATATTTTGCAAATGTTTTTCCAAGTTTGCCTTTTAATTTCGAAGAAAATATCAATGCATTTTTTGTGTAAATATTATGGCAATAATTACTTTTTTATATACAAATATTTGAGACAAAATAAAAAATGTTGGAAGGCAGCCCCCTCCACCCAGAAGCAGACAAGAGAGTAATGCCCAGGGTCCTAGGCAAGAGCCAAGGGCCACCCCATCCACTTGGAAGCAGGCAAGAAAGCACACCAAAAACACATCTGTGCAGGTGGCCCACCAGAGCCATCGCCACAGCCACAGCTGCTGCAAAAGTGGCTTGATGCCACAGCAGTAGCCACAGCCACCATGCAGGCAACCTGCCAGACACTCAACTGCATTGACACAAGGAGAATCACCAATGAAAACCAGAAAAAGAAGAAGACATGTCTCTCCTCAAAGCCCACTCCAAAATAATAGAAGAAACAACTGCTCTACCAGATCACCAGATACCAATGCAGAGATATTAGAAATACAAAAACTCAAGAAAATATGACACCACCAAAAGAATACAGTAACTCTTAAAAACCAGACCCTATAGAGCAGAAAACCCTTGAAATGACAGAAAAAGAATTCCAAACAACAATCTTAAGGAAACTCACTGAGAAACAAGAAGACTCAGTTAGACAACATAATGAAATGAGAGAAGAAATCCAAGATATGAAAGAGGAAATTTACAAAGAGACTAATACCTTAAAAAAGAATGTAGCAGAACTCACTGAACTGAAAAATTCACTCAGCTAAATAAAAAACACAATGAATAGCTTAAGCAGCAGGTTAGTAAAGCAGAAGAAAGAATTTCTGATCTTGAAGATAGATTTTTCAAATAACCCAGGCAGACAAAAAAAGGAAAAAAAGAATTTTAAAAACTGAAGACAATCTAAGAGAGCTAGCAGACAACCTTAAGTGCACAAACATTTGAATCATGGTTGTTCCAGAAGGGGAGGAGAAAGGAAAAGGCATCGAAAACCTATTCAATGAAATAATAACAAAAAACTTCCCAGGTATAGGGAGAGATGCAGACCTTCAGATCCAGGAAGTTCAAAGATCCCTAAACACATTCAACCCAAAAAGATCCTCTCCAAGACACATTATAGTCAAACTGGCAAAACTCAAAGACAAAGGGAGAATCTTAAAAGAAGCAAGAGAAAAGCATCAAGTCATCTATAAGGGAGCCCTTATCAGATTAATAGCATAATTTTCAACGGAAACTCTACAGGCCAGAAGAAGAAAATGGGTTGATATATTCAAAATACTAATAGAAACAAACCTGTCAGCCAAGAACACTATGCTCAGCAAGGCTATCTTTCAGAAATGAGGGGAAAATAGTGTATTTTCCAGACAAACAAAAACTGCAGGAGATCACTACCACACAACCAGCCCTACAAGAAATCCTCAAGGGAGTCCTGCATCTAGAATTTGAAAAATGATAATCACTACCATGAATACACAGGCAAGAACAAAAACCATTGGTACAACAAAAATGCAAACAAGAAAGAGAAAGAAACTAAATCTTACACCACCACAAAAAACCATAATGACAAAGTAATAATGACCCTGCTTTATTTCTGATTTTAGTAATTTCTGTATTCTCTCTTTTTTTCTTGGTCTAGATAAAGGTTTGCAAATTTTGTTGATCTTTTTAAAGAATAAACTTTTGGTTTTGTTGATTTTCTCTCTTGTTTTTTAATTCCCTATTTCATATATTTCTGTTGTAATCTTTGTTATTTCCTACTTACATCTGCTTTTGATTTAGTTTGTTCTTCTTTTTCTATTAAGGGAGAAGTTTACATTACTGATTTGAGATTTTTCTTACTTTTAATATAGGTGTTTACAAGTATAAATTTTCCTCTAAGCACAGCATGAGCCCTGCATCCTACAAATTTTGATATGTTGAGCTTTGATTTTTATCTCAAAGTACTCTCTAATTTCCTGGTGATTTTTCTTTTTTACCCATTGTTTATTTAGGAGAATGTTAATTTCCACACATATGTGAATTTTCTAAGTTTCCTTCTGATATTGTGGTCAGAGAACATATTTTCTATAATCTTAGTCTTTTTAAATGTATTAAGACTTGTTTTCTGACCAAAAATAAATAAATTAATTAATTAATTTAAAAAATTTAAAAGTTAGCATTTATTAATTCTAAGATGTAAATACATGGGTATTCACTTTAATCTTCATCCTTTAACTTAAAAAAATTTCAAAAGAAAATAATAGAAATATGTATAAGATACTTAATAATTTGGACATACATAACTTATTCAACCATTCTCCTAATGATAGACATTCAGGTTGTTTCAGTTTGGAGCTTTTGCAAATATCACTGAAGTAATTATTTACATACTTTTAAAACAATTCTTCTTCTTTTGCTAAGTTTCAAAATGCTTCTCCCAGTCTTCTCTCCTGTGTTCCCAAACATTTTTCCATTACTATCAGAACATGACTTTTTTATTCCCACAAAACTAATCAGTTAATTAAATTATTTGTACAGAGTGCTCTGGAAAAGGCATTGCATAAGGGCAATTTTGCTTATCTGTGGAAGCACATCAAAAATGTGTTTCATTGTTCAATAGTCACTCAAGACGTTCTGGAAAAAAAGTGTTACACGGTCATACAAATTTGGGAAATAACTTATTCCACTTTTGGGGATTCACAAAGTTCCTTAGCATACCAAAAGTCCTGACAAGTACTATAGTGAAGACAAGGTTCCATAATCTGTACAAAATAAATAATTCAACAGTCAAATAAGTTCAGGGAGCTACTACAACTTCCTCTTGGTGAGTCATGAAACTCATTAGCACAGTAATTTTGCTTATATGGAGTTTCCTAAATTTATTCACCAGAGAACATTTTTTCCTTTAACACCTGTTAACATGTCAAAGTACTAGTGTTTCATAGAATACCTTTAGCAAAATGCTAAGATGGGAAAATGAGAAAGGTAAGTACTGTGAATAACTGAAGTCTAAATACTATTACAATACAATATCAAACATTTCATCAGTGTTTTGAATAAGAAAACAGACTTAATTCTTCATTCTTTTAAATCTTTGATTGTAAGTGAAGATGCATGATAAATAGCCCAAGTCAGGTTTTTAAATGTAGTGCCATAGGGGAAATGCTTTGAGGTCAGACAGACCGGGGTTGCAATCCTAGTTAACTTCTTATTAGCTATGTAACCTCGGATAGATCGTTTAACCTCTCTTCAGTTCAGTTTTCTCATAAGTAAAATGGGAATAGTAATATTCTCCTCACAGAGTTGATGTGAGGATAAAATGTGATAATGTATATCAAGTACATAGTAAAGTGGTTGGCACACATCCAAGGTCTTGTACAGTATCTATAATTGTACACAGCAGAAATCCTGAAAGGGAAAAAAACTGAAGACCTGAGAACCCACAAACTAATTGCTAGCTTTTTCATGGAAATAGAATAATTAGTTTTACCAGATTAGAGCCTTGAGCTCTGTGGTATTTCTATTACTAAAATTCTCCTTTTAATACTGAATTACACTGGGTTTATTTACTTGTGAGTGTTGCAAAGAGAGGGCTGTTTAGTTTTTCACTAGGCCAAAGGGGATCGCACGTGTAAAGCTGCCTGCCACTGATTAACAAATTAGTAACATTTTAGAAGGGTTGGAGTTTATGTGGGTGCTTTCTGCCTGTTAGTGGGTAAGAGGAGGCTATTAACTGACATAATGGAGTTAGGGAAAAAGAATCTATTTGTAATCTATATCAGTTTCAGAGTCCTGGAATACACCAGGACAAGTTTTATAATTTGCAGTATGAAAGTAAATAACCTAAATGGGAAGTTTGGCTGTTTCTGGATACCCTGGGGTTGGGTCTTTTAGCACCACAAGTGACGTTAAGTATGAGTTTGCAGGGAATAAGGGCATCTTTTTCAGTACACTGCACAGAAAAATTATGTATAGAACTTCTGCTTATGCGTGCAATACAAGAGTGAAAAATTTTCACCAGGATGAGAACTTACTCTTTTTCTAGTTCTGCTTTCAAGGCTGCATCTTAGCAGTTCAGGTGGCACTGTATGTGCCTCCCTCAGAATACTGACCTGAGACATGCAGGAAATGTGAAAGCTGCTACGTTTCTGTTTCCACAGCAAGAGATGATGAGCATTCTGGATAATCTGTAAGATTGAAAAGTGAAGATGATCAAATGCCCCTTTGCCTTACATGGGTGGGTATTCATTCACTGGCAGTCCAGTACCCCAGAGGCAGCAGACATATGCAAATCTCTAAAGACTGGTGTGCTACATGAAAGCATTTGTAACCAGCCCAGATGTTCACATTCCAAGAGTAGTGAGCCTGCTATATTATGAACTAAGATTATTTTATTTATCAGCATTATCTGATTTATAATACTGGCTGGTATTTGACTTAAATAGATGTGATGACAGCTCAAAATCATCTGACTTTAATGGCATATTTTGGGTCTCACTATTCACAAAATTACCCTGTCTTGCTGTTATTCCACTGGACATAATTGAGATAGCTATTATAGTATTTTAAGTGTTGGTGTGTTTCTAAAAAGGAGTGAGATATCTAGAAAATAAGAGGCTTTGGGATTAATAAGCAACATCATTTATGGTATAAATGTTTTTTTTCCTGACCTCCAGCATTTTGGGAAACCAAAGTACACTCCGAATCAGCTTGCTTAATGTACTGATAATCACTTTCTTTATACTCCCTGCACAATAATGTACTTGGCACTTCAAGATTAAAAAGTTGACAGTGCGGGCCGGCCCGGTGGCGCACTGGAGAGTGCGCCGCTTGGGAGTGTGGCGGCGCTCCCGCTGAGGGTTCGGATCCCATGTGGAGACCGGTTCCCGCTCACTGGCTGAGTGCAGTGCGGGCACAGCACTGAGGGTTACGATCCCGTTACCGGTCAGTAAAAAAGACAAAAAGGAAAAAAAAAAAAGTTGACAGTGGCCATCCCCTACAGTTTATGCTTAGCACAAACTTATGAAATCCATGTGCCATTCAGAGTGCTCCCATAAGTGTGAGGTCTGGATCCTTGAAGACAGAAGCCAGCCAGCCAGGGTGGGTTACCCTTGCCACAGCAGGCTGGCAAACTCTCACGCCACTGAGTTAACCAGGCAGATTCCAAACACAAGGCAAATTTCTTCTAGGAAAAGTGGAAAAGTAAAAGTGGCTCTGATAATATCTTTGGATTCATGGCCCTATGATGGGCACAACATTCTGCCTTATCTGGAATCCCAGTCTTAGGGGATTCTTGCCCCTAAGTCTGAACAAAAAGCAGTTGTATTGGCTCAGGTCTTCAGTAAGAGATATACATCGAATAATTTATGTTTGTCAAACAAAGAAAAAACGAGGCAACAAGTGCTTAAGTATACATCACATCCCACCTATCTGAAATTTCTACCAAGAAGACAATTGACAAAGTGAAAGACAATTCTGGAAGTGTAATGAACTTTCTTGCCTTGCTGCTCCAGAGAAGTGATGCTATTTTTTTGATGTTCACTCCTTGCTGATGGTTGCCTGCCTCAGAATTTTGTAAGTGTGGTTTGGCAATAAACCTTTCCAGAAGTTGGCTTTTAGGACTCTGCCATGTGGGTTTACTTTTTCCACTGCAATTCACATTCTTATTTAGCACAGAACACATACTCCAAGCAATTATTTGAATTAAAATCATGCTCTTTCAGACATTGAGGCCTGAACTGAAAAACCCAATTATCAACTTCCTTCATGGTTTCACTCTCAGGGTAAGATTAAGCTAAGGCTGCAAAGTAAAGCTCATCTGGTGAGGACTAAATAAAAATTGCAGATACATAAAAAAATTAGACTCTGCATAATAGAAGACAGACGCAGCATTTAGCAAGTCAAGTTACCTCTTTCTGCCATCTGCATCTATGCTGCTTCCCTCAATCTCACTTGCTCTTGCTGCCTATGAAGTAGTGATTTCACCATTATTCAACAGATGTCTCTACTTGAACCAAGAATGATGCATTTGAGTCTTATTGCATGCTGGCTAATCTCTGGTTCTCTTTCTGTTTTGTCCTAGATCTCTTCCTTTCCTTTAAAATTCTAGGTTCCGCATAAACCCTTTCTACTATGTGAAGTGACTGTGGCAGTGTATGTACACTTCTTTCCAGCCATTGGTTCTCAGGGATTGGGAAGAGTAGGGAAAGAACATGATGGAGTCTGAAGAACTTAGGTTGAGTTGCAACTGCTTTATGATCTTACATGTCACCCCTTCCTAGCTTCAGCTTTTTCATCTGTAAGATAGGGGCAATACTCTATCATTAACAGTATTTTTGGGATACTCTTCCCTGAAGTATGAGTGCTCTCTAATGTTCTATCCTTGACCCTCTGACTCTCTTTCACCATTCATTTCCTTGTCCACATGGATTCATGTCGACTTTGCTTAGGCGATTTCAAATTTTACATTTTATCTCCTTTGCCTAGTTTCCTTCTCTCCTTTATTATCTCCTTCACTTTTCATGAGTTTAACTGCCAACTCTATACAGATGACTCCTAGATCTCTCTAGTCAGTGGTACTATTTCCAGTTATTTAACATGTTTCTTGGCTTTGACTCTTCCTCTCTATTTCTAGTGTTACCACCACTCATGAAGCCACTGTGACACATGCTCGGCTTTCTGCTGCTTTCTCCAGTTCTTGTCTTTCCAAATTCCAGTCCATCCTGCATACCAGTACCTGAGTGATTCTTATAAAATTTATCTTTCATTATGTCAATATATCACTCAAGATCATAAAATTAATAGCTAGTTCCTATTGTATCAGGTCTACAAAGCCCTCTACCATCTAGTCATATCTTATTTCTGTAAGATTATGGTCCTACAACACCCACCCTATGCTTCAGAATAGATGGCCTCCCCAGTGTTCTTACCACATTCATGTTATTCTTCTTACCTGGAATGCTATTTCCTTCTTTCTAGCATCTATCTCAATGTTACCCATCTTAATCACACCTAGCTTAACTCCTGCCTCTTCCTTAAAACTCTTTCCAGCATAGATCATACACTTTCCCCCTGTATTGATATACTCAGTGTTTAAGCATCACTAACAATCACACACTTATCACGTGTACCACACTAAGCCTACATTAGGTATGTAATTAGCAACATCACTTTTATGGCAACAAGCACACCAAGTCTGTGTTATACTTATGTGCTTTTCTTATTTTTCCCTGCAATTGCACATTCTTTGAGGGCAGAGGCCACTTTTTACTTATGCTTATATCCCTCCACAGTAATGTTTTGAGGTGTACCTTCAGGAAATGCTTTCTGAATTGAACTGATTGATTGGAGACTTGCATTATTTCAGGAACACATATCAATTCAGAGCTTAGGGTTGGACAGCACAGGTAAAGCAGTAAAATGAAGAGCCATGGTATTATTGCATTAGGTAACTTTTCCAGGAGCTGAGGGGCTCCCTTCTTATCTAGAAACATGGAGAACAAGTCACTTGAAAAATGGTAGCTACCGAAAGGAGGAGCCCCTCCCTAACCCAGTGTATCATGTGTGATGCTTTCAGGGATGGAACCTAGGATTCCTATTCTCGAGCAAAGGAAAATGGCAAGTGTAAGAATAGGTTGTTTATAGGCTGGTGGCCAAAATGCTGGGTTGAGATGATAAAAGCAAGCCAACTGGATGTATTTAGAGAAAATACAAGAAGAAAGAAATTGGGTTCTGGAATATGGAAGATATATTAATAATGTAAGTTTACCGTGGCCTGAAAAAGGAACAGAACCATTTGGTGAAAAATATCAGTTTGTGATTATTTGGCTTGACTTCTGACCCCTTAATATTAGATATGATCATAAAACATCACACCTTAGAGCTGAAGATAGCTTAGAGATCATGGAATTGCAACTTAGAAACTGAAGTCCAGAGAGAAGGGACTTGCCAAAAGTCACATGTTGAACCTAGTGGCAGAGTTGGGAAATATTTCCCATGCCAGAGATCTAGCAATGTTTTTCCATCCTTCTATTTCTGGTGAAAGAGGAACAGGAACTGATATAACTTTCTTTCAAATGGACCTTTTAAAGGTCTATAAACTGAAAAGTAAATAGGAGCAAGGAGAGATACTGAGTGGTATAGTGGTTAAAGGTTTGGACTTTGGAGCCAGGATCTGTCACTTACTAGATATGTGACTTTGGGTTTCTCTGAGTTTAAGTTTCCTCATCTATAAAATGGGGCTATTTAATATTTACAACTGACAAAGTGATTATGACTATTAAATATAACAAAGCCTGTGAATCACCTGATATATAATAGGCATTCAACAAATGTTAGTTGCACATTTAAATCAATCTAACATTTTGTTTAATAAAATCAATTTAAATCAATTTGTTAGATTTAAATCAATCTAACAAATTGTTTAACAATTTAACAATCTAACATTTAAATCAAATATTTTCTATACACACATCTATTTTGCAAGGGTTGCAGAGAATACTGAAATGAAGTTGAAAAGGTCTCTGACTTCAGTGAGTTCCCATTGAATCCCCTACTGTGCAAACTCTTTACTGGAGCCAGGCTACTTTCTTTATGTCCCCTCACTCAACTTTGGGTCATGTGCATTGCAACCTGTTACTTTCCTTGTACGTTCTGCCTCTTCAGTCCTTGCCACCAATCCAGATCCTATCTAATCTTTAAGGCCCAAATTCTACCTTCTCTGTGAAGCCTTTCCTGACCAGCCCAACCCACAGGAAATCACTCTTTCCTTTGAATTCCTATAGAACAAAATTTATAGTTCTACGTATTTGGTCAATAACATATCTTGTATTGCATTTTGTTAGGCAACTTTCCAGTATGTGTCTTATCTCCCCAAGTAAATGCAAGACCCTTGAGTTCAGAGATGTGTATAACGCACTATATAGGTCCAATGTCATAACTATAATATGCTGTCAATAAATACTAGTTTATTTCTTCTCTTATTCCTTCTAATTGGTTGTCACGGCAGCAGAAACAACCAGATTGAAAATAAGTCAGAAACCTCTTCTACCTTGAGCAGTACTAATGGGTGTCATAAAGAGAAGGTTTTATCCAAAGAAATGTGTAGGAAATTAGGCTATGCATAAAACACTTAACATACTGGAGTCTGAAGTCAATATTTTTGTGAATAAGTGTGCAGCCCATTAAC